CAGTGAAGTGTCAGTGTGTTTTACAGCACTTCTGCATTACTGCTGTTTGCATATTTTTTTTCTTTGTTACAGTTTTTTTTTATTATTATTATTTTTTTTTATTTTTGCAGCATCAGGTTCTGTTGCTGCATCATTAGTGTCCCCCCTTTTTTTTTGCTTTCTTATTTTTTTTTAATTAATTTAATTCACAAAATTTATTAGGGCATAACTGTTGCATCGCAGGTGTTCCTCCTTCTGTGTCAGCAGTGGTTCCCTTTTTTTTGGCTTTCTGAATTTTTTTTTTTTCAGCAGCAGCAGAAACATTTGCGTTGCAGGTGTTCTTTCTTGTTTCTGAATCACCAGTGGGGTTTTTTTTGGCTTTCTTAATTTTTTACATTTATTTATTTATTTTTGCAGCAGTTGCAGTAAAAAAATCTCCATAATTGTTGTACCCCCCATTTTCTTCATAAAATAAATAGATAAATAAAACGGTATATAGTACACCAATAACAATCGTAATGCATTCAAGCACCAAATTCCCAGCCTACACTCTAAAATAAAAAGTTATAAAAATGCCCATCATGTTTGAAAGGCCAGCAAGGAGAGGGAGATGCTCACAGGCAGCTAAAATAGGGCAAGCAGCCTCTGTGTCCACAGTGAAAAATTATGGTTATGGACATGGTGCATCCTCTGCAGGTAGGGTATGCTTGTCCTTTTTTACGGTGCTGGCATGTTATTGAGCCATAACATGCAGAAGAGGTGGTAGAGTAGATGACTAAGCCATCCTCATCCTCTGTCACCCAGGCTCATACTAGTTCGCCTTCCACCACAGCTGCCAAAGCTGCCTATTCCCCAGGCTCCTTGTCCACAGTTACTTCTTCCATAGCCCCACCATCATGCATGGAGGAGTCACCTGAATTATTCAAACGACGTGTCAGTCATACTGCTGGAGGATGCGCAGTCATTTTAATGCTCTGATTTTTGTTCCTAGGTTGAGGAAGGGAGTGATGTGACCCAAGAGAGAGGGGTTGTCAATGACTGACAAGAAATTTGAAGTCATGTTCCCCCAGCCGCAGCATACGGCCAAGTTGGCTCCAGTGACAAGGAGGGAGGGAAAGATGAGGTCACTAGCTGTACTTGGGTGCCTGAGAGAACATAGGAGGAAAGTGAGAAGGCGGCACAACTCCAACAAGGCAGGATGTCCTCCAGGGGCAGGCGTAAGGGCAACCACCCTATTGCATCACACGAGAGAGCTCCACAGGTGCAGGGCACTGCTGACTCCCCGCTGACCTCCAAAAGTTCATTGGTGTGGGCTTTTTTCAACACGTGCAGCAGACCACAGCATTACTGTTTGCAGTCTCTGTTTGAAACGGATCAAGTGTGGCCAAAACACCAGCTGCTTGGGTACCACATGCTTGGCACCACATGCTTGACTTGACATATGATGATCTGCCATGCAGCCTGTTGGCAACAGGACCTGAAAGGCATGGTCAGGGATGTTACATTTCCTTCACGGCACACTGGGTAACTCTGCTGGCAGTTGGGAAGGATGCAGGACAGGGTTCAGTGCTGGAGCTTGTTCCGCCACCACGCTTCCAAAAAACTGATGGTGATCCTGCCACATCTGTCTGTTCCACTCCCTCCTCTTCCTCTATGGCCTCTTCTGCTGAATTGTCCTCTGAACCAGAAGTGCTCCCTAAGCTTTCAAGGGGCTACGCATAGACATAGACTTAATTGACTGGCTCACATTTATCAAAATTAATCAATCCTGGATCAACAGCAGCTATCAAGCCCCTGATTAAATTTGCTAGGGATCTGGAATCCCTTGAAGACTGCCTATGCTGCCTATGCTATTCCTGATTATGCTAGCTTCCAACAATGTTTTTGGTTTAAGGGACCACCAACACCCATGGCCCAATTTTTATGCATCTATTTGAAAGGTGAATGTAATTTAAAGTTTTTACAATTTTTTAAAACATTTTTAACAGCAGGGCCCATTCCTGCCCCCAGCAAGAGTAACTGTGAGGGGTTACAGTGTCCAGGCACCGCCAACACCCAAGGCCCAATTTTTCGGCACATGTTTGACAGGTGCATGTAATTTAATTTTTTTCCAATTTTTAACAATTTTTAACAGCAGGGCCCATTCCTGCGCCCACCAAAAGTAACTGTGAGGGGTTACAGTGTTCAGGCACCACCAACAACCAAGGCCCAATTTGTCTGCACCTGTTTGACAGGTGCATGTAATTTCAAGTTTTTACAATTTTTAACAATTTTTGGCAGCAGGGCCCATTCCTGCGCCTGGCAAGACTAACTGTTAGGGGTTACAGTGTTCAGTCACCACCAGCACCCAAGGCCCAATTTTCCCTCACCTGTGTAACAGGTGCATATAATTTCAGTTGTTTAGGGCAGTGCCAATTCCTACGCTCATCAAGAGTAACTGTAAGGGGTTATGCAGGCGATAGATGGGGAGAAAAACGGCCGATTTTTCTTTAAAAAAATGAAAAATCGGTCATTCAAGCGGCCGACGTTACCAGGAATGGTAAAAAAAATCGGCCGATTTTCATCCCGTCTACAGCTGGCAAAAAGTGTCCCTGCAGAGAGCTCCGCTATTTCTTTGACAGTGCTTTGACATTTATAGTGGCTGCAACAATGTATCTATTTGTATCCATTTTGGAAGCAGATGTTTTTATTTGGAAACAAATAGATACATTGTTGCAACCGCTATAAATGTCAAAGCACTGTCAAAGAAATAGTGGAGCGCTCTGCAGGGACACTTTTTGCCGGACTGGAATGCTTCTTCTTCTTCATCCTTTTCTTCATCTACCTCTTCTTCATCCTCTTCTTCTTCATCTTCATCCTCTTCTTCTTCTTCATCCTCTTCTTCTTCTTCCTCTCCTTCTTCATCCTCTTCTTCCTCTTCTTCTTTATCCTCTTCTTCATCCTCTTCTTTGTCTTCTTCTTCCTCTTCTTCTTCTTCTTCATCCTTTTCTTCTGCATTATCCTCTTCTTCTTCATCATCCTCTTCTTCTTCTTCTTCATCCTCTTCTTCTTCCTCTTCTTCTTCATCCTCTTCTTCTTCTTCTCCTTCTTCATCCTCTGCTTTATCCTCTTCTTCCTCTTCTTCATCCTCTTCTTTATCCTCTTCTTCTTCATCCTCTTCTTCTTCTTCATCATCCTCTTCTTCTTTTTCATCCTCTTCTTCTTTATCATCCTCTTCCTCTTCTTCTTCTCCTTCTTCTTCATCCTCTACTTCTTCTTCTTCATCCTCGTTTTCTTCTTCGTCCTCTTCTTCTTCATCCTCTTCTTCATCTTCTTTATCCTCTTCTTCCTCTTCTTCTTCTTCTTCTTCATCCTCTTCTTCTTCTTCATCCTCTTCTTCATCCTCTTCTTCTTCTTTTTCTTCTTTTTGTCTTCCTCTTGCAGGTCACTGCTCATGAGCAGATTTTTTATCGGTAAAAAGATCAGCCGATTTGCCCATAAGTGCTGCGAAAATCGGCCGATCGGCAAAATCGGCCGATCTTTTTCCAACTTTACCGATAAAAAAAATCTGCCAAAATATCGAAAAATGGCCGAACAATTAACCCACTAACGATCCGAAAATCGTCCGATTTTACTTTTGGCCAAAAAATTGCCCGATTTTCGACCCATCTATGGCCTGCATTACTGTGTGGAAGCACTTACATCCAAGGCCCAGTTTTTCAACACACTGTGTGACAGGTGCATATAATTTGAATTTTTAGAGCAGGGTCCAAACCTGCACTCGTCAAGAATAGCTCTGAAGGGTTACGGTGTGAAGGCACCACCAACTGTTCGCCTACCAAACACCCCACAATGCAATGCACTCTCACAGTGCACAGTCCCTACCCCACACTATATAAGGCTGCTTACACTGCAGCCTTATGCAGTGTGTTGCTGGACACTGCTGAAGACAGGAAAGTATACTGTACCCCCAAAAATAAATAATTAAATAAAAGCAAATAAAAATAAAACAAAAAATACATTAAAAAAAAAGAAACAGCATGGCCCCCTCCCCCAATCCATACCAGGCCCTTTAGGTCTGGTAGGAAGGTTAGGAGGGACACCACAGTAAAAAGTGTGTGGGGTTCCCCCTAAAAGCCATACCAGGCTCTTTAGGCCTGGTAGGACTTTTAAGGGGAACCCCACCTCTTTAAAATGGGGGAGGAAGTGCGTTGGGCTTCCCATAAAAAACCATACCCAGGGAAGAGGCCCTTGTCCCCATTGGCATGGGGACACTGGGAGAGGTAGCACTCGTTCACCCCCCCCCTTCCTGCCCTGCTAGGTCTGTGCTCAGAGCAAGGGTCTGGTAGAAATTTAGGGGGGACCCCATGCTTTTTTTCCCCATTTTATGGGGGTGGGGTTCTCATTAAAAGTCCTACCAGGCCTAAAGGGCCTGGTATGGCTTTTAGGGGGAGACACAAGCACTTTTTGCCCCATTTTTGGGAGGTGGGGGTTCCCCATTAAAGTTCTACTAGGCCTAAAGGGCCTGGTATGGCTTTTAGGGGGAACCCCATGCACTTTAAAAAAAAAAATACTGTGGTGTCCCTCCTAACCTAAAGGGTCTGGTATGAATTAGGGGGGGGGACCCCATGCCTTTTTTTTAAATAATATAAAAATGTCAGTCCCCCAGGCATTATATTTAACCTCCCTAGCGGTCTGATTATGTCAATATTTCTGTGCTCAAAGCGGTACATTTTTTTGCATGTAAATATGTAGTTTTTTTATTGTAGGCTGTAATTCTTAGGAATAACTCACTGAAATCTGTCCGAATAAGAGTCTAGTAAACATTCCGGGTATGATAATATTTGAAACATGAAATCATAAATTATAATATAACAAATAATCATAAATAATAATAATATAATAATAAATGTAATTCAATAATGTAATCAAACCAAAAACACTGAAATTTGAAATATAGAGCCGAGTTCGCACATCACTGAGCTCAGTCGCAGAATCGTTTTCAGTGTCTGATGACGAATTTCTTCACGAGTCATTATCACTCAATTCTGCAAGTTGTTCTATTTCACTATCGCTGTTCTCTAGCTGGTCTAAAACCGCTTTTGACCTAAAGGGACGCTTTTTGGACGCTATGGACGTTTCTCAGTTTCCAGGCAGAAAGAACAGTAAAAATGCAGGCAGGGCACAGGACAAAGCACTAGGGACAAAATGTATGTGAAATGGTTTGATACAGTAATGTTTTACTATGTGATTTTAGTGAATTTAGTGAATGTCACATTTTAACTTTTTTGAATTTCCCACCATTCCGTCCCGTACGTCCCGACGCTCGTAGGGAACAGAACCCAGAAGACGGATGCCGGTATCGGCCGGAGGAGATGGCCGGGGACGCTGCAGGGGGGACATCACGTGAGCGAAGGACAAGGTAAGTGCTGGAGGGAATCCCTGAGCAACGCTGCAGGGTAATCCCGAGTGTAGCTCAGAGTTACCACTTTTGGTACTGAAAGTTATCCTCGAGCTACACTCGGGAATACCGCCAGGGGGGTTAAAGGAATTTTACTTTTTAACTTTAAGCAATGAAGAATGACTTCCCCTTTTTTTTTTCACTCATTCATGTCCCTAAGGGCAGTCCCCAATCCCAATACCCCTTGCATGGCCAATTACTTGCATATAAGCCTTCAAAATGGGCACTTTTGAATTTACAAGTTTGAGTCCCATAGACTTGCATTGAGTTCGAAGTTCGTGGTCGAACATTTATTAGGTTCGAATGTTCGACCGCAAACCGAACATAGGGGTGTTTTGACCCATCACTATTATTATTATTATACAGTATTTATAAAGCGCCAATAGTTCGCTCAGCGCTGATTCCTTATTTAACTGTGCACACTATATATAAAGTATCATCAAAAATAATTTACTGTGTTTTTATACTGTATACTATAGGCAGTTTAAATTGCAATATAAAATGTTAACTTTTTAATAGAGATGTTACGTAATTTTAGCATTGTTTTTATCTGCATGTGTGGATATATGTCAGTGGCAATATACAGTATGTGTGTGCATGTATGGTAAATAATGAAAAAATAAATTAAAGTTTTGAGTATAATACAAAGCAATGCAGAATTTTCCCCATAAAAGGCAACAGCATACTTATATAATGATAAATCACCCCCTTTCCCCCATAAATACAGACAGTGCTACTGCTTTCTGAAAATCAGTATTTGCATATGCTTTAGGTGCCAAAGTAGACCTGCCAAATGGAAGGTCTGCTTTTTAGCAAATCCTCAGGCCCCTCCCCCCACCCCCAACACAAATGGCTTTAAAAGCCATTGGTAAACAAACAGGTCTCCAGGAATAAGAATACTTTACCTTGGCCCCCAATGCTTCCCAGAGACATCACTGTGTCTTCAGCAGAGCTGGGAGCATAAAATCAGAAAACAAAGCACTCCAGCCCATTGTAAGAGTTAATACCTGCAAGATTTTGAACACCTAGATATCTTACTTGGCTGCGGAGGAGCAGGGGGACTCAATTCAATTTTTATTTTTTTCTGGGCAATTTGTCTGATTACAAATGGCACAAAAGTTCCTCTTTAAGGAATGCTTCCTATCAGTAAAGTCATTTTAAAATTGCTTTGAAATCGCACTGGGAAGTTGTACAGCAAAATCGCCTCAAAGTCGTGACAACTTTCATGTCTCACTAGCGCGAACCAGGGCTAACAGTAAATTCTAGTTTTATTAATTGTAATTTTTTGCAAACAGATCCATTCTGTGTTATAAAGCCAGTAATTAAGGTACCACAGACCTGGAAACATCTGGAAACTGTTGAATGTCCAGGGGCACTCATACATGCTGACTCTTGGTGCATGGTGTAGAGTGGCTGCACATACATCTTTGCTGCAGAACTAAAGGCTGACACAGGTGCTGGCTGCTAGTTTCAGTTGGTGACATTTTTAAACATATCCTCAGCAAGGGCATAATGTTGAGAGATGATTTGCAGAAAAAAAAGGGGGATAACATGTAAGAAAGGCAAATTTGTGAGTTGGTATTTAAAACATAATTTCCCAAATTGCAATTTGCAGAGATACAATGTCACTGCCCTGATTAGCATGCAAGAAGGTAAAGTGACTCAAAGTGTACCTAAACACAAAAATGAAGATGAAACACACTCTTGCTTACTAATCCTTACTCTAGGTTCACACCTAAGCGTATTCTGCAGTGTTATGCGTTTTACAGAAACGCACTACAGTCCATTTAACATGATTTCCTGTGGGACAGGTTCACATCTCAGCATTTTCACCTGGTGCTTTTTTTTGGAAAGGGTCAGGGACTTTTTCAAACACAAAAAGTTGCATTTTTGGTTCTATAGACTTCAATGGAAACACTGCAGAAAAGCATGTAATGCTATTTTACTGCATTTTTAATGCGTTTTGCGTTTTCAAATCTGCCTAGCAACAAGAAAATGCAAAATGCACCAAAACCGCATGTGCAAAACACACTACAGAAACAGATCAAATGTAAACTGCATAGGTGTGAACTTAGGGTTAGATGTGATGGCTTTATTACTTTTCTTTTTTTATGCATTTGTTCCTTTATTATCACTTGGTTATACAGACACCTCTTAGGATGCCTCTACTGTGTCTATGGAGGAGCAAAATAGCCACAGAACAGCATTGTCAATTTGTGGTGAAGGTAGCATTGGATTGACTAATACATTTATTTGGACTTTACATAAGTGACTAAAGCCTAAGCCCAGCAAACACTTTTTTGTATTTCAATGGTTTTTATTAATTTGTAATAGTTTAAAACAGGAGCAACAAATTACACCCACGCAGGGGCTATCAATTGCACATAAAAAAATTTGAAAATTAGAAACATCAGTGCTCTAACACCAACAGAGCAAAAGGTGCGCCCATGCAGGGGCTATCAATGGCACTTAAATTATTATTATTATACAGTAATTATATAGCGCTAAAAGGTTTGCTCAGCGCTGTACATTATAGTGGGGGACAGAACATGAGACAATACAGTAACAAAACAAAACACGAGGGATTCAAGGGCCCTGCTCTTTTGAGCTTACAATCTAGAAGGGAAGGGATAGTGGTACAGGAGGAAGTGGCTGTGGGGGATGGAGTGGTGGAAGGAGTGGACGAGATCGGTTGTTAGGTGAGGGTGGGGTAGGCTTCCCTGAAGAGATGGGTTTTCAGGGTGCGCCTAAAGGTGAGGAGGGTAGGTGACAGTCTGATGGATTGGGGTAGTGAGTTCCAGAGGATGGGGGAAGTCCTGGAGAAGTCCTGCAGTCGGGCGTGGGATTTGGAGACCAGGGAGCTAGAAAGTAGGAGGTCTTGTGAGGAGCGAAGAGTACGGGTTGGGTGGTATTTGGGTATCAGGTCGGTGAGGTAGTTTGGGGCAGCGTTATGAATGGCTTTGTATGTCTGTGTTAGTAGTTTGAATTTAATGCGTTGGGCAATCGGGAGCCAGTGGTGGGAATGACAGAGGGGGGTGGCAGAAGCGGAGCGGTTGGTAAGGTGGATGTGTCTGGCTGCTGAGTTCAGGATAGACTGAAGCGGGGATAGTCTGTGATGAGGTAGGCCGGTGAGAAGGGAGTTGCAGTAGTCCATGAGATAATGAGAGGGAGTGAATGAGTTGTTTAGTAGTGTCTGGGGTTAAATGACAAAACATTAGTATAACACCGATAGTAACTCAAACTAAAGGCAGCTATCCACTGCCACACCAAAAACAAAAAAAAAAAGAAAAGAAAAGGAAGAAGTACAAATGAAAAAAGATAACAAAACCAAGAGCAGGGATCCAAGACACCAATACCGAACAACATCATATCCCCAGACTAGCTGGGGGGGAGTGTGGGAAAGGCATATTGCAACTAGAGATGAGCGAATCGAACCAGGCGAACCGGAATTCGATACGAATTTCAGGAAAAATTCGATTCGCGTCGAATCCGAATATTTGCCTACTTCGGGTGCGCGAATCGGATTTTTCCCGATCAGCCGGCAAAAGTGTCCCTGCAGAGAGCTCCGCTATTTCTGACATTTCTCTGACAGTTCCTTCACATGTACAGCGGTTGAAACATTGTATCTATTAGTTTCCATTTAGGATACAGATGTTTCAACCGCTGTACATGTGAAGAAGCTGTCAGAGAACTGTCAGAAATAGAGGAACTCTGCACATACACTTTTTGCCGGTTTGGAATTCTTATTTTCATCCTACTTCTTCTTCTTCTTCTTCTTCTTCTTCATCCTCATCCTCATCCTCAGAAGAAGAAGAAGAGGATGAGGATGAAGAAGAAGAAGAAGAAGAAGTAGGATGAAAATAAGAAGAATTCCAAGCCGGCAAAAAGTGTATCTGCAGAGCTCCTCTATTCTGCAGATACACTTAGAGGAGCTCTGCAGATACACTTAGAGGAGCTCTGCAGATACACTTTTTGCCGGCTTGGAATTAATCTTATTTTCATCCTACTTCTTCTTCTTCTTCTTCATCCTCATCCTCAGAAGAAGAAGAAGAGGATGAGGATGAGGATGAAGAAGAAGAAGTATGATGAAAATAAGAATAATTCCAAGCCGGCAAAAAGTGTATCTGCAGAGCTCCTCTAAGTGTATCTGCAGAATAGAGGAGCTCCGCAGATACACTTTTTGCCGGCTTGGAATTATTCTTATTTTCATCCTACTTCTTCTTCTTCTTTCCTCTTCATCCTCATCCTCATCCTCTTCTTCTTCTGAGGATGAGGATGAAGAAGAAGAAGAAGAAGAAGAAGAAGAAGAAGTAGGATGAAAATAAGAATAATTCCAAGCCGGCAAAAAGTGTATCTGCAGAGCTCCTCTATTCTGCAGATACACTTAGAGGAGCTCTGGAGATACACTTTTTGCCGGCTTGGAATTAATCTTATTTTCATCCTACTTCTTCTTCTTCTTCTTCTTCATCCTCATCCTTCTCCTTCTTCTCATCCTTCTTCTCATCCTTCTCCTTCTTCTCATCCTTCTCCTTCTTCTCATCCTTCTCCTTCTTCTCATCCTTCTCCTTCTCCTTCTTCTCATCCTTCTCCTTCTCCATCTTCTCATCCATCTCCTTCTCCTTCTTCTCATCCTTCTCCTTCTCCTTCTCCTTCTTCTCATCCTTCTCCTTCTTCTCATCCTTCTCCTTCTCCTTCTTCTCATCCTTCTCCTTCTTCTCATCCTTCTCCTTCTTCTCATCCTTCTCCTTCTCCTTCCTCATCTCCAAGGGCATTTAAATTAAAGGTACAGTGTTCTGCACTAATTTAAAGGCTCAGAAAAACCCTTTTTATAAGTTAACTTCGTAGCGAATTAATTCGCATCGAATCGAATTTCTTCCTGAAATTTGGCGAATCAGCCGAATCGAATTTTTGAATAATTCGCTCATCTCTAATTGCAACCACA